CTGCTCTAAAAGATAGGTAGAAATTTGAAAGAAGATTTGCACATGAGGATAGGAGATGATGTGGTTGCATTTACCTTCTCATTTGAGTTAGGTGGCCAAGGGCTCAGGATTAACTTCTTAGAACATCCCCTTCCTATCCCTTGCAACTACTTAGCTCTCATTTCACCTTTTCAACCCCATTTATGAAACCATGTCTCTCTTCTGCTATTGTGCAACCTGCATTCTGTTTTGCTCCCCTACCCCACCCTGACTTCAAATCCAGCCTGTTGCTGCAGCCCTGCAAATCCTCCAATGGGGTGCTTGTGTGACGACACTCTTGCATTTTTATTATATGTGAGATTTTTCAAAGCAGAGGCAGGAAAAGGAGTGACACACTTTTTGTCTCGTGTATTCAGGCCAAATCCCCGATGAGAGTTATAGACAACACAGAGAGGGTGGAAGACAGAAATTAAGCAAACTAAAAAAATGATCCGTGGGAAACTCAAGATATGTATGCCGCACTATACAAATTTGAAAATTAAAAAAGCGGAAACTCAATGAGCGTTCCTGTTAAATCAGTTCCACTTCAAAACAAAGTAGTACAAAAGTTCAAAATGTGTGATGTTCAGATGAGAGGAATTTTGGATCCATCCTCACCACAGACTTATGAATAGTACATCCCATTCAGAAGTGAAAATAAATGAATTTGTGTTGACTATCTTGTCACCTAATCCTCTTGCCCATCAACCTGAACTATTTGTTGGTGAATGGCATATGATGCATCTAAGGGCAAATTCATGACAGAGGACATCATTGAAGCAGAAAATTGTCTTGCTTGACCAATAATCGCATTTCATGGCAATCAGCCTTTAAAAAAAGTTGCAAAAGGCATAACAAATTTTCAGCTAAAACGTGGCATGGCCTATCAATCATCATTACTTCCTTTTTGTCTCTGGTCAAGAAAATATCTAAAACTGGATATGAATTTATATAATGAACCACATAAAGCTGAAAGTCAGATTATCCTGTGATGAGACATTTTTAGCAGGATCAATGTGGGATAAATTAACTGCTCAGCTCACGATTTGTAGCAAAATATTTCCTTCCCAATATTTATTAATCATTCTACATATTTGCTATATGAATTGAGTTGTATGGTGTCCAGTCCATCTGATTTTGTCAGAGAACAGTATTAGCATGTTTGTTCTATTATTCCTTAAAAAAAACCACAAACAAACCCACATAGCGAATGTAATTGACACAGTTGCCTCGTGTTAACTTCACACATTCCCTTCTGTCTTCTCCTCCTAATCTTGGAATTAATACACATAAAAACTAAGTTGAGATTAGGAGAGAGTTATTTATAGGTGCCTGTTTAGAGAGGCTACATAAGGACAATAATCCAACTTATCTGAATGCCGAGCCTGACAATTTGCTAGGGAGAGAAATGATAGCTGTCTAGAGTTGATCTGTCATCAAAAGATCGAGTCGCTATGAACTGAATAAAAGAAGCCATAAATAACATCGATAGCTATACACTCACATATCAACTCATTCTTTAATGATCACATTAAATACTTCTTTCTTTTTTCCCAGCCTACAAATACTTAGTTTCCAGTTTTCAAGAACTGGTTCACATGTGTCTTTTTGTCTCTCACATCCAAATTTATTACAGCTCTGTTTAAAGGATTGATTAAACCCGACTAAGACCCATTGGCATGTCTTATTTGAATTGTGCTCGTACTTCTAGCAAGAGGCTACATGGAGACACTTTCCTTTCTTTTGAGTTTGTCTGGGGAAATAATCTATGGATCTTTTGGCTCTGAGCAGAAATTTTCCTTGGCTCTCAATCTTATCAGTTGCAGTTAGTGAAGATCTCTCTCTCTCTCTTTCCCTCTCCCTCTCCCTCTCTCTCTCTCTCTCTCTCTCTCTCTGTTTTCAACAAGCCCTAAGGAGTTGTGAATTCTGGAGAGCTTTCAATGTACATACAAGAGATTGTAATTTACACCTCTAAAGCTGGTATCTGATTCCAGCGGTATTACTGGAGCATTCAAATCCTTTAACCCTGGCGGTGTGCGAATAAACCAGCTTTACATAAGGCACAGATAAGTGTGTTGCATGACTGTATGCTTTTGAAAGGAAATATCTTTTAAAGCTGTCAGCATTGGGATTTATATAGGGTTCTTCTGTGGCATTTAAGACCAAAGCAAATAAAACACTTTTTAGTTTGTTAACAATAGCCGGTGCTCTTGCGAATGCTGATACCTTGATCCTATAGATTTGTGTAGCTGTGATGTTGCTGAAAGTCTCTCCATTACAGCGATGGCTGGATACATCCTACAAGATGCAAACAAAGCAGTAAGTCTTTCTGTTGTTCAGCTGCCATCTCATTATTGCTGCTTCAAATGCTATCATAGAATCATAGAACCCCAAGGGCCATCTAGCTCAACTTCCTGCAATGCAGGAATCTCTTCTAAAGCATCCATGATAGATGGCCATCCAACCTCTGCTTAAAAACCTCCAAGGAAGGTGAGTCCACAAACTCCCCAGGTAGACCGTTCCACTGCCAAACAGCTCTTCCTGTCAGGAGTTTTTCTCCTTTCTTGTAACTTGAAGCCATTGGTTCAAGTCCTATCCTCCAGAGCAGTAGAAAACAAGCTTGTACTCTCTTCCACATGATAGCCCTTGAGATATCTGAAGATGGCTCATATCTCCTCTCAGTCTCCTTAATTCCAGGCTAAAAATATCCAGCTCCTTCAACTGTTCCTCATAAGGCTCATTTTCCAGACCTGTGATCATCTTGGTTACCCTCCTCTGCACACACACTCCATCTTGTCAACATCCTTGTTAAATTGTGGTACCCAGAATTGGACACAGCACTCCAGGTGTGGTCTGATCCAAGCAGAATAGAATGGTACTATTACTTCCCTTGAGCTGGACACTATACTTCTGTTGATACAGCCTAGAATAGCATTCACTTTTTTTTGCTGCTGCATCACACTATTGACTTATGTGAAGCATGGGTCCGCCAAGACCCCTAGATCCTTTTCACATGGACTGCTAGTAAGTCAGGTGTCCCACATTATATATTTCACATTCTGCAGAACCTTACAATTTGTCCCTATTGAAATTCATTTCAATAGGGCCCAGTTCTCCAATCTGTTAATCTCATTTTGAATTCTGATTCTGTCTTCTGTGGCATTAGCGACCCCTCTCAGTTTGGTGCCGTCTGCAAATTTGATGAGCATCCCCTCAATTCCTTCATTCTCAGTATTCGGTTGCACCAATATGCATGGTTCCATGGTGCCCAAAAATTATTTAGGATGGTGTCTTTGTCCTAATATTGCACTCCTGTCTTCCCCTAGTCTTCTCCTGCCTTGTCCCTTTTCTCCCTAACCTATTTATATGCAACGGTGTGTGCATCAAGGGTATGCAATGGTTTTTGGAGTATGCATCAATAGCACGCAGCTGTTGATGCTGCCAGTACACTTTTATGGACTCATATATCCTACCAACCCAGTGCTCCAGGCCAGCAACATTACAACACTGTGTTGTGGAATTGTTTTTGTGCTTCAATATTGTATCATAATCTTCTGTACAGTGGTACCATGGGTTACAAAAGTTTCGGGTTACAAACGCTTCAGGTTACAGACTCCGCTAACCCGGAAGTAGTACCTCAGGTTAAGAACTTTGCTTCAGGATGAGAACAGAAATCATGTGGCGGCAGCGTGGCGGCAGTGGGAGACCCCATTAGCTAAAGTGGTATCTCAGGTTAAGAACGGTTTCAGGTTAAGAACGGACCTCCGGAACGAATTAAGTTCTTAACCAGAGGTACCACTGTACTTCTGTCCAAAGAATGTGTCATGTTCCCATCCCATCTTCATTGGCTTAAAGCAAAGGACTAATGCAAGACCTCATTTGGTGATGACGACTTCCACTTGCTGCTCACATTTTTGCTGACACTTTGGTTCCTAGGTACAGATCTGCACAATCAGACCGCTGATTTGATCTGAGTTGTCTAACCATCATTTAATACAGTGATGGCTAAACTTGGCCCTCCAGCTGTTTTGGGACTACAATTCCTATCATCCCTGACCACTGGTCCTGTTAGCTAGGGATGGTGGGAGTTGTAGTCCCAAAACAGCTGGAGGGCCAAGTTTGGCCATCACTGATTTAATAGAGAACAGACTATATTTCAGGGCAGCTTTGCAATTGTTCCCATTACATTAACCATCCACACTGGAAGCATTAATCTGGAAACCACTGGTAAATTGCATTACCGTAGATCAGCCTTTCTCAACCTGTGGGTCCCCAGGTGTTGTTGAACTACAACTCTCATCACCCCTAGCTAGCAAGGCCAGAGCTCAGGGATGATGGGAGTTGTAGTCCAACAACATCTGGAGACCCCACAGGTTGAGAACCGCTGCCGTAGATGTATGTTGACACAGAGTGAAGACGGGATGAAATTTCAGTCGCCACCTGCACTGCTGCAGCTTAGGCCAACCACAGCCTCTCCCTTCTCTTTGGGGGAAGCTGAGTCATAGAATTATAGATTTGAAAAGGACCTCAAGGGTCATCTTGAGGTCAACTGAAATGTTACAATTATTACTATTCCCCCTAGAATAACACACACAAGTCCCATCCAACTTGCATCTTAGTCAGGGTGAAGAGAAACAGCTCATGAGCTCCAAATTCTAGGAAAGAGTCTACTTAAAGTTCTGCAAAATGATTGCTTAAAGTCCTAAAGTGTTGCTGTACATGTTTATGAAAGCATGATACCATTTTTCAAGGACTGCACCATTTCAGAATGTGGGACAAGAGGTGGCAGCTGGTGTTTTGGAAACACTGCTCACGGGGACCTAAATTATATGTACTTTGTCTAAGGTGGAACAAGACTGGAATGAGTTACTGGAATTTGAGGTGGGTCCAGTCTTATCCCAGAGGCTTCTGAGATCATAGCATCATAGAATTGTAGACCACAAAGGTCATCTCATCCAACCCCCTGCAATGCAGGAATCTTTTGCCCAACATGGGGCTCGAACCCACAACCCTAAGATTGAGAGTCCCATGCTCTACCAAAATGTAAGAGTACATCCCTTACATGCAAAGGGGCCCATGTTCCATCTGCAGCATTTCCATGTTGGATTGGGAAAGTCAGAGACAAGGGCCCAGAGGACTCCCTAGGAGAGGGGAGAGGAGAGGAGGCTGAGGGAACACTCCACAAGGGTTCAAAAAAGGGTGAGGGGGTGACATAACTGGGCTCCTTTTAAAAAATATTTTTTATTAAGAATTTCAACACAATAATTTTAACAAAGATACATCATCCACATTGTTTTCCCCCCTCCCCCCCGACATATACCCACCCTCCCATCCCCACCCCCCTACTTCCCTCAGCTCCTATCTCTGGTTTCTCAACATATATGTTTATCTGCATGTTATAAAGTTGTAAAGATCCTGAATTTATCTGTCTGTATATTACCAATATAATTTTTGCGAATATTTACAGTGGTACCTCGGGTTACATACGCTTCAGGTTACATACGCTTCAGGCTACAGACTTCACTAACCCAGAAATAGGATCTCGGGTTAAGAACTTTGCTTCAGGATGAGAACAGAAATTGCGCAGCAGCGGCGCGGCAGCAGCGGGAGGCCCCATTAGCTAAAGTGGTACCTCAGGTTAAGAACAGTTTCAGGTTAAGAACGGACCTCCGGAACGAATTAAGTACGTAACCAGAGGTACCACTGTATTCGAAACTTGCCAAAGAGTCCAGTTCGTTTTGTTGTTTCTTCAAATATTTCGTAAAAGGCTCCCATTCATCTTTAAAGTCACAGTTATCCTTGTCACGTAGTTTGGGCGTCAGTTTTGCCAATTCCGCATAGTCCATCGGTTTTTCTTGCCGCAGTTCTTTCGTCGGGATTTCTTCGTTCTTCCATCCTTGTGCTATTAAGACTCTTGCCGCCATTGTCGCATACATAAAAATGTTTTTAAATTTCTTTGGCAGGTCTTTCCCCATAATCCCTAACAAGAAAACTTCGGGTTTTTCCACAAATGTTAAATGAAACATTTTCTTTAACTCATTATATATCATTTCCCAAAACATTTTAAGACTTAACTGGGCTCCTGAGCCCCACAGGGGTACCACAGAAAGAATGCAGTTGGTCACAAGAGTCATGGGCTCAAAAAAAGGTTGAAAACCTCTGGGCTACTTAATGGAGCCAACCTTTTCTTTTTTGTCCATATCCCTTTTGCTCAGAGTAATAGATTCTTCTTCTTTTTTCCAAATAATATTTATTATTTTCAGTAAACATAATAAAAAAGAAGAGATTAACAATAATAAAGACAAACAAAAAATAGGAGAAAAAAGAAAAAAGAGACATACAACATATTGCCACTTAATTAATTAAAATTAAGTACCATCCATCTTCATAAACATAGTATTTGACTTCCTCGAATCTCTTCCATCTGAATTTCTTAGTAATTATATGTAGCAGTTTCCAATATCAATGTCTCAAAAGACCATATCACAGTCCTAATCATATTACATAACTTTCCTTATCGTACATTTTCTTATTTGTAAATTTAATTTCAGTTTAATCCTAGGCCTAATTGTTTCTTTCAAGTGATTACATATCTTTAATATTACAATATTTATTCAAATAGTCTTTAAATTTCTTCCAATCTTCTTGGTGTTCCTCTTCTTTCTGGTCGCGGATTCTCCCGGTGAGGTCAGCCAGCTCCATAAACTCCATCATCTTCATCTGCCATTCTTCTACCGTTGGTAATTCTTGTGTTTTCCATTTTTTGGCTAATAAAATCCGTGCAGCAGTTGTGACATACAAAAATACTTTTACATCTTTTTTGGGCAGTTCAGAACCTGTTTTTCCAAAGAGAAAGGCTTCTGGTTTCTTCATAAATGTATATTTCATCATTTTTTTAAATTCATTATAATTTTTTTTCCAGAAGTCCCAGAGTAATAGCTTCTTTGACTTGATTTACCTGTTGTTGTTTTTCCTTTCGTGGAAACGCTGGTATTCTGTACCAGTACAATTCCTATGTGGTCTGAGAAGATGTATAATTCATACGATTGTATAGGAACTAGGGTGAAACACTCCCAGTGTTGAAATATCTGTCTTCTTATGGATGCCCTTGACTGGCTTGGAAATCCAACGCTCGCTGAAGAACTTTCCCTGTGGTAGCTTTCTCAGTAGGTAACTTAATTAAACTTCAGCTCGGCACCGGTGCTTGTTGGGTCCTGACTGCGTGCTCGGCTTTTCGGAGAAGCTCTGGCAATTCCTGAAACGTCGAAACAGATTGTTTCAAGCTGGCCATAAAAACGCAACTTGTCAGCTGCTCAACAGCTCCAGCTGCCATACATAACTTTTCTGCCCACCCCGGAGAAAGGCAATTGTATTTCAACTATTATGTTCACCCTGATGGATTCTTTTGATTGCCTTGAGAAAGCCGACATGACGGTAGGCTCCAGCTATTCATCAAACAGCTTCCCCCCTTTGGAGCATTTAGGAATGATTTTCTTTTTAAAAATGATAGGGATATATTCAGAGAGAGTCCTTTGGTTTTGGTTTACCTCCATGTCTTGCTGTTGATTCTAAAAGGTTTTAAAGTATTTTTGAAACTGTATAGAATTAATGCACAGCTAAAAGGGTGCGTGTGTTCCATATTAGCGCTATTTAAGGAATAATCCAGAGTTTCAGTGCAATCTTATACCCATCAACTCAGCGGTAAGCTTCATTGAGTTGAATGGGGCTTACTCCCAGGTAAGAGTGTATGTGCAGCTGTAAGCACACTTTAGTCCCCCTGATTTCACATGAAATTTTCCACACAGGCTCATATCAATGCAAGGGAATATATATGCTTGTGTACACCCAGGACTTTTTTTTCCAGCTGGAACTCAACAGAACTCAGTTTTCTGGCATCTCTCATGTGAGTGTCATTGCCATTACAAGAGAACATTGGAAGCTCAGTGGTCTAAACCACTGAGCCTCTTGGGCTTGCGCATCAGAAGGTTGGCGGTTCAAATCCCCGTGACGGACTGAGTTTTTGTTGCTCTGTCCTAGCTCCTGCCAAACTAGCAGTTGGAAAGCACACCAGTGCAAGCACCTAAACATTAGGAAGAACTTCCTGACAGTAAGAGCTGTTCGACAGTGGAATTTGCTGCCAAGGAGTGTGGTGGAGTCCCCTTCTTTGGAGGTCTTTAAGCAGAGGCTTGACAACCATATGTCAGGAGTGCTCTGATGGTGTTTCCTGCTTGGCAGGGGGTTGGACTCAATGGCCCTTGTGGTCTCTTCCAACTCTATGATTCTAAGTAGATAAATAGGTACTGCTCCAGCGGGAAAGTAAACGGCATTTCCATGCCCTCTGGTTTCCGTCACAGTGTTCTGTTGTGCCTGAAGCGGTTTAGTCCTGCTGGCCATATGACCCGGAAAGCTGTCTGTGGACAAACACCAGCTCCCTCGACCTGAAAGTGAGATGAGCGCCACAACCCCATAGTCACCTTTGACTGGACTTAACCATCCAGGGGTCCTTTACTTTTTTTACCTTTACCTTCCCCACTAGTTCCATGTGCGAACTGGTCCCACCATCTCCAATGTATTTGGCATCTAGTGCTTCATGGCAAAGAGTTGCTTCAACTCCAGTATTTCGGCAGATTTGTTAAGCTAAGATTTGTGAGCATACAAACAGCTGAACGAGCAAGCCTACAAACAGAAGATTGCTGGAGTGCTATATTGTTGGCTGACTGTGACCTTCTATAGAATGATAATCTGTTTCTGTGAATGAGACTAGTTCTTTGTTAATACATTGCCACATTCTTAGGGAATCTTATGCAAAATACACATTGTAACCTACATTTTTTTCCAGGCAAGTCTCAGTTTCCCTGGCAATGGTGAGAAACTTGCAGTGCAGTTCCTCACAGCTTCACATTTGCGAGGCTTATGAATTTTTAAGAGCTTTTTTTTTTTAATATAAGAAAAGAAAAGGTGTTGGAGAATGAAAACTCCTAAAATTTGCAGGTGTGTTTTGAAACTTCAGAGCAAGCTAATGAACAATTTCCTCTAACAAATGGCTTTCGAAGTTTCGTAATTGTTGTACAATACTACAGGGAAAAAATTAATTTCTGGAAACATAATTCTTGGGCTTATTATTTAATCTGAGAGCTATACTTTCTAGCGGTGCTATAGTGAAACTAAATATAAAATATATATTTAAGCCCTGTCCATACAGATAAAATATTGCACCAGTGACATGAGGTTAGTGAACTAGGGAGACTAGATTAGCCCCCTAAATGTTCCTGGTAAAATAGAGTATTAAAGTATTAAAGTCTGGCGCATCCTTCCCAAAGCCCGGGAAGTTTCTGCCCTGCTTAGGGAGGGAGGTGTGATGCTCTCAGGTGGGACATTGGCCCCCACAATTGTCCTTGCAAGCTGTCACCTCTGGCCCTAACTGTTCCCCTGTGAAAATTTTTACCACACACCAGTGCATTACACCCAGGAACGATCTGTATCCTACACACAGTGCTTTTTTTTGGGGGGGGGAGGTACACAGGAGTACATATACCCCTAAATATTTTGAGAATCTAATGGGAGAAGAAACTAAAAATGTTTAAAAATTTAGTTTCTTCTCTAGCACGGTAAATCGTCAGTTCCGTTGCTACTCCTGATGGTGGCCTCATTTCCTGTAGTGATGTTTCCTGAGTCTCAGACGGAAGCGAGTGTTTGATATGTAGTGTTTTACTGATGAAAGTTTGGCCTCATTGAGGGGCAGTAGTTCAGTATTAGTAATATTAGTAGAGAGCCAGTATGGTGTAGTGCTTAAGAGTGGTAGACTCGTAATCTGGGGAACCAGGTTTGTGTCTCCGCTCCTCCACATGCAGCTGCTGGGTGACCTTGGGCTAGTCACACTTCTCTGAAGTCTCTCAGCCCCACTCACCTCACAGAGTATTTGTTGTGGGGGAGGAAGGGAAAGGAGAATGTTAGCCGCTTTGAGACTCCGTAAAGGGAGTGAAAGGCGGGATATCAAATCCAAACTCCTCTTCTTCTTCTTCTTCTTCTTCTTCTTCTTCTTCTTCTTCTTCTGCATGTTCTTTGTACTTTTGT